GTCTTCATTTCTCCTTCATGTTTGAAATACATATTCACTGGATGTACTATTCTGGGGTAAATATTTTTTCTTTCAGCAATTTAAATATGTCATACTACTCTTTCCTGACCAGTAAGGTTTCCAATGAAAAGTCTGCTGCCAGATGTATTGGAGCTCCAATGTATGTCATTTGTTTCTTTTCTCTTGTTGCTTTTAGGATCTTTTCTTTATTTTTGACCTTTGGGAGTTTGAATATCAAATGCCTTGAGGTAGTCTTCTTTGGGTTAAATTGGCTTGGTGTTCTTTTACCTTCTTGTACTTGGATATTGATATCTTTCTCTAGGTGTGGAAAGTTCTCCATTATTATCCCTTGAATGAAACTCTTTTACCTCTATCTCTTTCTCTATTTCCTCTTTAAGGCCCAAAACTCTTAATTTGCCCTTTTTAGGCTATTTTCTAAATCTTGTAGGTTTGCTTCATTTTTTTCTTATTCTTTCTTCTTTTGTTTCATCTGACAGCGAATTTTCAAATACGCTGTCTTCAGACTCACTAATTTTTTCTTCTGTTTGATTACTTCCGCTATTAAAAAACTCTGATGCGTTCTTCAGTATGCCAATTGCATTTTTCAACTCCAGAATTTCTGCATAATTCTTTCTAATTATTTCTATCTCTTTGTTAAATTTACCTGATTGCATTCCGTATTCCTTCTCTGTCTTGTCTTGAATTTCTTTGAATTTCTTCAACATAGCTATTTTGAATTACCTGTTTTAAAGTTCACATATCTTTCTTTGTCCAGGATTGGTCCCTAGTGCCTTATTTTGTTCATTTGATGAGGTCACATTTTTCCTGGATGTTGTTAATACTTGTAGATGTTCTTCAGTGTCTGACCTTTAAAGAGTTAGGTATTTATTGTAGTTTTCTCAATATGGGCTTATTTGTACCCATCCTTCTTGGGAAGACTTTCCAGATATTCAGAAGGACTTGAGTGTTGTGATCCAAGCTCTATCTGCTTTAAGGGGGCACCCAAGGCCCAGTAACACTGTGGGTCTTGCAGATTCATAGAGTACTACCTTGATGGTCTTGGACAAGATCTGGAAGAATTCTCTGGGTTACCAGACAGACTCTTGTTCTCTTCCCTTACTTTCTCCAACGTGAATGAAGTCTCTCTCTCTCTCTCTCTCTCTTCTAAGACACTTGAAACTGGGGATGGTGTAACACAAGCATCTCTATGGCCAACACTACTAGAACAGTGCTGGGTCAGACCCAAAGCCGGCACAACTCTGGGTCTCACCCAAGGCCTGCTGTAACCACTCCCTGGCTATGACCTATGTCCATTCAAGGCCATAGGACTCTACTATCAACAAGTGGCAAAGCCAGCCAGGCCAGTATCCTTCCCTTCAGGGTGGTAAGTTCTCCCCACCCCTGGGCATATTCAGGGTGCCTTCTGGGAGCCAGGGACTAGAGTCAAAAACTTTAGAAGTCTACCTGACTTTCTATTGTACTGTGCCTGAGCTGGCACTGAAACCAGAAGATGCAGTCCTTCCCTTTTCCAAAGGCAGAGGAGACTCACCCCATGGCCATCACTGCCACAGGCCCATGGGAGTACTGCCAGACTACCATTGATGTTCCCCTAAGGCCCAAGGCCTCTTTCTTCAGCATGCGGTGAATTTTGCCTGGCCTGAGATTCACCCTTTAGGGTGAATAGGCTCCTTTCTGGTCCAGGGAAGGTTCAGAAATGCCACCCAAGGGTCAAGTCCTAGTTGGAGACCCCAAAAGCCCACTTGGTGCTCTATCCCCCTTTGGCCAAACTAGTACCTAAAGTGCAGGACAAAGTCCCTTTTGCTTTTTCCTCTGCTTTTCTTAAAGGAAAGGAGTCTCGTAGCCACCACAGCTGGGAATATGCTGAGTCTCATCTGAGCCCAGCCCATCTTAGAGTCTTACCCAAACCCTTCGACATAGTACCTAGGTATTGCTGCTGGTTCTTCAGGGCCCAAGGGCTCTTTCGTTAGCAGGTGATGAATCCTGCCAGAACTGGGTCCGTCCCTTCACGGAACCAGGGAGGGTCCCTTTTGGCCCAGGGTGTGTTTAGAAATATCATCCAGGAACTAGGACCTGGAAAGGGGGCCTCATGACTCTGACCAGTGCCCTATCCTGCTGTGGCTGAGCTTGTATCCAAGATGCAAGACAAAGTCCTTCCCACTATTCTGTCGTCTCTCCTCAAATGGAGGGAATGGTTCTCTTTTGGGGCTATGAGTTGTGCAGCCTGGGCTTAGGGGAGAGGTGATGCGAGTACTCTCTCAGTTGGTGTCTCAGTAGGTTACATGTCCCCTCCAATCCACTCTCTCTGCACCCAGTTCAGCACTGGGGCTCACCTAAGTGTCTCAATCCTTGTTGCCTAGCCTGCCTGTGAAGTTTATTTGGAGCCACAGTGCACTTTAGCCCATGGTGGTGAGGCTCGCAGGAACACAAGGTTGGACCACTGGGAGAGATTATTCTCCTCTGATTACGGCTGTTTTATATACTCCCTCCATGTCAGCTAAGTTTAGTCTATGTTTGTTTTCTGTTATAATAGGGCAGCACTGAGTTTAGTGCCTCAAAAATACTGTCATATCTCTCTGCCCAGCACACCAAAATATTCTTTGCACCACACCACTGCTTCCGGGCATGGGGGAGCCATGGTGCCAGTGATTCAGGACTGTTTCTCCTACCTTTTCAGTGCCTCCCTCAGTGATATAAAGTTAAAATCAGATACTGTGAGTTCTCACGTTATTTTTGGTTCTTATGAAGGTGATCATTTTGTGTAGATGTTAAATTGGTGTCCTTTGGGGAGGTGGACAATCAGTGGAGGCTTCTATTCTATTATCCTGGTCCACTCCTCCCCAAATGAATGTTAATAATACACTAAACGGTCAGACTTCACCACTGTACATATATTCATGTAACAAAACTGTACTTTGTACCCCTTAAATTTATACAAATAAAAAATATAATAGAAAATGATTATTTGAGAACATTTTATTGGCATTGCCAGTGATGATTGATTAGATTGTGAAATCAATTTAGGAGATGGGGTAAATGTTTTTTTTTTTAAAGTAGAATAGAATTGTATAGCATAGAGTACAATAAAGTAGTAAATATTAGATTTCATTACATTTTATAATGGTAAGTATTGTTTTATGAAACTTCTGTTTCAATTTTTGTATGTATTTGGTTGTATATGTATGGAGCTGTGATGTATAACATATTTCCTACTGTGAATTGTGGTCAAGGTAGAGAAACTGCTAGAGGGTGTTTTTCATAAAGCCCTGTTTTCATGGAAAAGTTTAATGGTGCTCTATGACTATACTCTAGTTCAGGCAGAAGCATTAGACAAATTCTTTGAGCACATTATGTTTGGGGAGATCAGTCTGTATTTGAAACAGCCACAGACTGAAGCACCTGTCATGTATTCTGTCATTTCTTTTAAGAACATGCTAGTGAATGTTCAGCTTGATCAGAAAACTATAGTTTCCGAATATTTGGTGTCATAACTTTGAGTCATCTCTCACATTTCTAAAAATGATCAAATGAATCCAGAATAGTGGTTCTCAATCATGGATAATTTTATACCTTAGGGGACCTTTGCCAAGTCGGGAGATATTTTTGTTTATAATAATTTGAGAAAAGGAGTATGCTACAAGCATCTAGTGGGATGCTGCTAAGTATTCTACAATGAACAGGATAGCCCTTCACAATAAAACATTATCCAGACCAAAATATTAATAGTGCCAAATTTGTGAACTCAGCTTCAGAGTGATCCCAACTAGTTATTTAAAAGAAATGTGATTTTAATGACAACTGAAAGATTCATGATATTGGCCCAAAACGAACTCAGTCATATTGTTTGTAGAATGCTCTGATCACCAACTTTATTAGATTAAAAATGACATATCAATCAATATCTGCTTACATGTGACCCAAAATGAAATGCTGCACCAAATAGTTTAAAAATACAAAGTTTATAATTCTAAGATCATTTCCTGAATCTGAACATCCAAAGTCAGCATTAAATTTTACCACCATAATATAGAATAATTTATATGCCTATGTATATTTATATATGAAGAAGAAACTTTGTCTTGAAGTGAATTCAGAGAATTGGCAGCCAGCTGCCTAAATGAATCTCATCATTTAAAATTCTTATCTTAAGAGTTTTCTACCTTAATACAGGTTCAATAGCCCTGACTTAAAATTTTATAGATCTGTTGATTCAACAAAAATAGGCAATAATAAAGATACTTTACAAGAAAAAGGGAAGGTGAAACTGGTGCCTGTGTTCTAGGCCCATTGGTGATGCAGACTACCTATTGCTTCTCTGAGTCATTTATATATAACAAATATATAGTTTTCTGGCTTCAGTTCTTTTAAACATAACATAAGTGTATTGGCCTACGTGACATGCAATCTCTTCTAAGCTTTAAAATTCTATGAGTCTAAATTATGAATCAAGTGTTTTATGAATGAACTGCGTATCTCTTTCAGGTATTTTAGAATTATTTTCGTGACTTCTCAATAGTACATGAGGGAAATTATTATAAAGCAAGTTCATCATTCCAATGATTTGTCTTATATTTGGACTACATGAGTAAATGACTCCCCAGTCTGCAGACCGTAATGTTTCACAAGCATTGCCAAGCGGAATAACTGCTTCCACAAAGCCTTAATTTAATTGTATTACAAAACACAATAAAACATTATCCAGACCAAAATATAAATAGTGCCAAGTTTGTGAACTGAGCTTCAGAGTGATCCAAACTAGTTATTTAAAAGAAATGTAATTTTAATGACAGTTGAAAGATTCATGATGTTGGCCTTACTCTCCTAATGACTTCAGGAGACACGTTGCTTATGGAGTATGTTTTCTCTTTTGAACCACTTTGTTTATGTGGTCCAAAAGAGAAAACATCCTATATGTTATATGTTATAACCACATGTGTTATATGCAGTAGGTGCTCAAATTTTATATTTATTTTCAAATTTTTCTAAAACTAGGGTTTTATGGTTGCAATACTTGGGACATTGCCATAAGCTTTATAAGCTATTTGGCTGTAGAAATGCAAGGGCATACAATTTTTCTTGCTACAGAGGAAGACAATATTCTTTGATTTTTCAAGGTATTAGTGAATTCTTATTTTTTTCAGGCATTTAACCATACAATAATAATGTACAAAATTTCCCCCTTGTGGTCAAAATGTGCAAGTGCATCTATGAAATGTCAAATTTCTTGTGCCTGTGTTTTGGGACTTATGAAATCACCATCACCTTCTCCCAAATTTTTAACAAATACATAGTTTTGATCAACTAATCACTCTATCTATATATCATTCATTAATCTGGATTTTTCTGGTTATATATGTGGGATAGGAATATCTATGTGAGTGTGCTTGTGTGTGGGTTTGTGTGTGTGTGTGTAGAAAAGTCAACAAAAAATTAGAGGCTTTATAACTAAAAAAAGTTAGAAGATCTCTGACTTGCTTTACTATCAGACTTTGTTTCCTACATATGGCTTTCTTTTATTTGTGTCCCTCAAATGGGTTTAGAAGTAGAAAATTCATTTTTTATGGTGGAAAAGTGCTTTGGAAAATCTGATTGAATAAGGAAAAAGAAAAAATATTTGTGAGCTCTAGAGAAACGTAGGGAATTATACAAGGGTTTCTTGAACACTTTGTGAGTTCAAAAATGTCTCAGTTAAAAGGAGATCCCCTTGATAAAGACATTTTAAAAATCTCATGGACTAACTTCAGAAATATGTATTGAGTCTCATTTGTACTTCAACATTCATGATTTAAAGAGCTAGGTATCTCTATTGTATGTTTCAAGCCAGATCTATTACTTTACAAATAAAAGTCCCTTATAAATTGGCTAAGGATTATTGGTTGATTAAAGTGATTCTAAATAACTTACGTTGTGTGTTTCATGTTGCTAGATCCAGTAATTTAATATCACTTTGTTGTACTACACCCATTAGATAGTTGAATTCTCACGCATATATGACCTGCATACAGCTCTCTTGGTTTAACTTTTATGGCAAATTAGAGGCCTGTTTTTGAAGCAATCCAGTTTCGGTAATAAGTCACTTGTGTGTAGACTCCAGGCTTGTCCCTTTGACCACAGTTATCTCCCCAGCTCACAATTCCAATGAGATACCAGGTGTCTTTCAGATCCCTTGTGACTAAAGGTCCCCCAGAATCACCCTGAAAATAAAAACGTAAGAAAAGAGAAAGAAAATTAGCTAAACATAAAGCTCATTATTTAAGATATTTTGATGAATCACATATTTTGTTACTAGACAGTACGTGTATAGATTATCAACACAGAATAATTAATTGAGACATGGATTTTAAAATTACAAAGAGCCTTAAGATTTAACTTTCACATTTAAAAAATAAAGTTTATTTTGTTAGAATAAACAGCACTTAGTTAAAAAAGACAAAAACGAAAGAACATGAAGAGGCTTGAAAAGCAATTATGTCCCATGTTTTCTCACACAGGCTGTTCTCCAAGAGGTAGCCACTTCATGCTTTTTTAATAATTTCTTATAGTGTCTGACTCCTTATCATTGGATAATATGCTCAAATTACAGTTTCTAGATTTAGACAGTAAACATTTATTTTTCCTTACGTAGTTAGTGATTTAGTTGTTTTACAACTTCTTTGCAACTTTTCCACACCACGTCTTTACATTATAGTATCTCTATTTTTGGTTAAATTAACAGCCTATGTTTAATACCAGTTGGAAAATTTTATTAATGGAAGAGTCAAGTAACATATTTGCATTACAGAAATCCTTTTTGGGTCTCCTAGAATTAATAACACAACTCTTTTTTCATGTGGATAGTGTTCTATGTACCTGGTAAATGTTGAATGCTCCAAAAGATCTACCAACACCTCACAATAAGGTTTACTAATGTTCAAGGACATCAGATGGCTTGTTAGTTCTTTTGCTTCCTCTGAAACAGTTCCACCATATCAACACACACACACACACACACACACACACAATCTTTTCTTACTTCTGCTCAAATTCGAGCTTGTTATTTTAAGCCTGGTGCAGAGCTATGATGTTGGGATTATATGATACCACTCTTTAGTGTTGGATTAACAGTTTCAGGTCTTATGTCTTCCACTTTCTTGATTTATTCCCTAATTTTGCTGAGGTACCCCCTCAAGTAGTTTTCTAAGAAAGAGGGTATCAGCAGTACATTTTTTTCAGTCACTACTTGTCTAAAATTCTTAATTCCACCCTCACAATTGATATTTAGTTAGCATGGGCAGGATTCTAGGTTGAAATAATCTTCCCTTTGAAATTTGAATGCATTTTCCACCGTCTTCTACCTTCTAGAGTTACCGTTGAGGAGTTCTATGTGTTCTGATGCTTCTTCCTTCAAAGTGTTAAGATTGTTCTCCTTATCCCTGGCTTCTGACCCTTTATGATGGCATGTCTTGGAAAGAACTACTTCATTTATTGTGCCCAGAACTACTTGGACCTTTTCTTCAATAGGATGCATGTAAGCTTCAGAACTAGGAGTCTTCTTTATTATTATTTTTTTATATTGTACACTCATGTTTTATGTTTTCAGAACTCTTATTAATTTAATGTTGGACCTCCTGAGTTTATCCTCTAATCTTCTTAATTTTTCTTGTTAATTTTTCTCCTCTGTGTCTTTTTTCTGTTGTTGTTCTTTCTGAGAGATTTCCTTGATTTTATCTTCCAATCCTTCCACTGGATTTTAAAAATTGTGATTGTATTGTTGCTACACTTCTAGAGATGATTCTTACTGTTTGGTTCTAGGGTGTGGTGCTAGAAAGCAGATTGTAAGTTCTGTGCTTTTGTGCTGGGTGGTGCTATGGTTTGAATGTGTGCCCAAGAGTTCTTATGTTGGGGAAACTTAATCCCCAATGCAACAACGTTGAGAGATGGGACCTAAGAAGAGGTGATCAGATCATGAGGGTTCTGCTCTTGTGAGTGAATTCATATTATTACCATAGGGATGGGTTTGTTATCACAGGATTAAGTTCCTGATAGAAGAATGAGTTTGGCCTTCTCTCCCTCCACCCATTTTGTGCTTTCTTTGCCCTTCCACCTTTCTGCATGGGATGATGAGGCAAGATGTGGGGCAAGATGAAGACCAGATGTGGGACCCTCAACCTTGGACTTTCCAGTTTCTAGAACTGTAAGAAATACATCTCTGTTCCTTATATGTACTTAGTCTTCAGCATTCTGTTACAGCAGCACAGAATGAACTAATACAGGTAGGTAGAAGGGCTTCTGGGCTGATACTCTGTATTCTAGTAGGGGCCTCTCAAATATCAGTATATGGAGGCATTTTTCCCCCCTCTAGACTGTGGGCTTCTCTAGAGAAGAATCTTGCAATTTCTTGCAGGGAGAAAGTTGGAGGCATTATGTATATCTGCCTGCAGCACTTTGGGGGAAAGCATGGGAAGAGGTTGAGGTCTGCTTTCACATAATCCCCCCTTTTCAGGCCCCCTCTGCTTTCTACTATGTTATTATCACTGAGTTAAAGGGCCTCAGATTCAACTGCTACAGAGTACAAACTTCCCATCTCTGGAGTTTAGATGTTTGGAAAGAGGTGGTAGAGGTGGGGAAAGTAGAGATGTGATATGGATTAGACTGATTATTTAGGATAGGGAGAAATGGGGTGTTCCAAGTACTCTCTGTGAAGTCTTTACATTTCTGCACCCATATCTCCCAAAATATTGGTTTTACTTAAAATTAGTATTTCACTCCCCTCTCCACCCAAGACATTTATGTTTTAGCCTCTTCTTTACTAAGTCAGTTAAAACTCCTCCATCTTCTCTTTCTCTTTCAAAGTTTTGTTGGCATTTTTTCAGCTTTCTCTCATTTGGTTTTTATTAGTTGATAGCTTTTTTAAAGTACAATTTGTAGATATATAGAAAATTATATTTTATAGATGATGACAAGAAATTTTTCAAAATGTTTGTTACAGAGTTTTTCTGTTTTGTTTTTTTGAGTTGCTCTTTGTCTCCCAGGCTGGAGTGTACTGGCGCAATCACAGCTCACTGTAGTCTCAAACTCTTGGGCTCACAATCCTCTCACCTCAGCCTTCTGAGTAGCTGGGACTACAGGCATGCACCACCACACCCAGCTAATTTTTACATTTTTTGTAGAGATTGGGTCTCACTTTGTTGTCTAGGCTAGCCTTGAACACCTGGGCTCAAGCGATCCTCTCTCCTTGTCCCTTCCAAAGTGCTAAGATTATAGGTGTGAGCCACCACACCTGACTTTATCTGCCTTTATGGTCATTTTGATGGGTTTGGGGGAAGAGCAGAGATGAATTTGAATGTAAAGTCTCCATGCTTAGATATTTCAATCTACACATTTTAAAAATGAACAAAGAAGAAACCTAGAAAATCTGGCTAATACAAAATCATAGCTAAGGGTGCAGTGGGATAGAGAAAAAAAATAGGAAGTCCGACTTCTTGTCTAGTAGCCAAATGAGTGCAAATTAAAACCCACCCGAGAGTCATAAAATGCCAAACATAATTTAATCTTTCTTTATACATTCAAATGTTCCTTTGGGCTTTCATCAGGAACATCCATGATTACTGTACTGTACATGAACATTTTTTGGAGTTATAGTGGACTTAGTTTATGTTCTAGAAATGGACTTTTCTTAAGTGTCTTCTAATAGCACCGTGGTTTCTTGACATTCATGGATGGTCAGCTTCTGCCTCCCTTTGGAGCATTGTTTAATAGAGTTTATTAGTTAACGTGATACGGGTTAGATCAGTTTTAAAAAACAGTATAATGTTCTTTTTACCATTTCCTTAAGTTAGAAAGTGCAGGATTTTTTTTTTTAAAAAATCCTCAAAAGATCAACTGAGATAAGATATAATGGAATGTATTAAACATAACAAGAAACATTCCATGCACTATGAAGGGTATGGAAACAGACAAGTGGAATTATTCAAAATCCTATTCAGAGCATTAAAAAGGCATTGGGCTACTTGTAGATGAGAAAAGATAAATATATTACCATGAGCATCCTGGGATTTATAACTGACATCCGTTTATCAGTGTTTCTCAGACTTCATTCTGAATAAACGTTATGAAGGGAAGTTCTTAAATGCAGATCTCTAATGCCCACCTCTAAAGATTCTGTTGGACCAGGGTGGGATCCTAGGCCTGCACTTTTAACAAGCATCCCCACTGATTTGTCTTCAGGCCAGCTGCAGTGCACTTTTAAATTGTAAATTTAGACAGATGATAATTCAAATAGTATTACTTTCCCCTTCTTTCTCTCTTTCTTTTCACTAATTCTCATTTCCTCTTCCTTAAATAATCAATCACTCATGAAGAATTCAATCAGCAAGGAGCCTCCACAGTCCTTACTATCTATTTGAAGAGGCAGGGCACAAAGGCAGCGAGAAGTCATATTGAGTGTCAGGTGAATCTTGTGTCAGCTACTAACACAAAACGACAGGGGATACAGTGGTAACAGACGTAGGATTTTCACACATGAAAAGAGAATTAAGCTAAAACTTGGGCTATTAATTGGTGGGAAGACAGGGGACATTCTCCTAGATAAGGAACTGGCATGAGTGGAAGTCCTCACTTCCTTACTTGTGTATCTCAAAAGCACCTCCAATTCCATGTGGTTGATGCTGGACCCATGCTGTCTTTCTAGATCTGGACCTTCGTCACTCTTTCCTAACTCATTGATTATTATTATAATCCCTGCAGCCTCTCAAGCCGGGAGTTTATTTTATTTTCGTTTTTTAGACCATGAATTGATATATCATTCTTTGCCCCACCCCTTCTCTCCAACCATATGAAATCCATTACTTCATTTGCCACTGTTACCTCTAAATATCTTTGTCTCCATGTCACCATATTCATCCAAACTAACATATTTCACCTGGATTTTTGCAGTACATGCTGATTGATCCTCAACTGCCCTTTCCCAGATATTTTCCTTACTTTCACCAGAACACTTCTCACAATATTCAAATTTGATCATTCCACCGTTTTAATTTAACAAATGTCTGAAGAGTACTCACAGTATACCAGGCAGTGTTTGGGGAGCTTTACACATATTAACTAATTTAATATAAATCTCTTGATTAAAACTCTTTAGTGGCTTTCTATTGTCCTTACAAAACAGGGAAAAAATAATGTGGCTCACAAGGGCCTGCAAAGTCTGACTTCAAACAAACTCTTCTACCTCTTCCTGTACCACTGGGTCATGTGCGTTCTGTGTTCCACCATGTGATGTTTCAGCTCCTAGAATTCTCCCTGCCCCTATCATCATTTGAAATCTTCCTGGATACTAGTTCACTCCATTCACCACTTAGCTTCACCACCCCAGCTAGTCATGTTCATTTCTTATAAATATGCTCATGGAACAATGACCTTCTCCTTCCAAGTTTTCTTTTTCATTGGCATAATTTTTTGATTCATTCATATCTGATCCACTAGACAGCAGTTTTCCTGAAAGCAGGTTCCAGGAAGGTTTTTGCTTGTGAGACTACCTTCGGTATATGTACGATGTATAGTAAAGAGTAGGGCACTCAAACTTTTTTTTTAGTGAATGAGTGAAGAGAGTTAGAATAAATGGAAAAATGACCGGGGACAGTTCTTGACTGATTTTCCTATACAGCAGGTTCCCAGCAACCTGATTTTAAATTATAGATCCTTCAGAAAAATGTTGCAAACATCCACCTATCATTTTCTAAAATGATTTTCAGTGCCACCTTGACAGAGTTCGCTAATCAGTGTAGCAGCTGCCTATGTGGTAATTACAACAAGGGATCCTTTTGTAAATGCTTAACTGAACTGGAAACAACAGTGGAATCACGAATCTTGATCAAGTTGTCAAAGCCTTTCATTTCTGGCTTTCCTATAAGCAATTCTGGTCCTTTTCTCAGTTGTGTTTGGGTCTTGCTTGGTTAGACCTCTGGTTGAAAAATTAGCGGCTTTCTCTCTCCTTTCCCCCCAAAACATGCTTCAGGACCAATCTTGTATATACAGGATGGGATTTATTGAGTTCTATATCAATAATTCGTAAATTGGAGAAAGACTAGCTGATGGTGGTGCTTGCACTTCTGTTGTATCAGACTAGGCCCCTCACCATGTGCCCCAGTTACAATCACTGTATTCCTGTCTTGGATCCTCGTACCTGCACCGCTGCCCTGATAACGTACCCTATTTTTCTGTGACTAGAGTCTTGTTTTCTCACTTACTTTGCACAGTTAGGCAGAAAGTTTACCTCTGCTCCCCAATCCAGTGAAGCCTCTCCAATCCAGTGAAACCTCTCTATGACCACCAATCCCTCCTAAAGCTTTTCAGTAATCTCATGGTTCACCTGAATTCCCCGGTCCTGTCTGCTCCAAGACTCCTGCGCTTTCCACCTGTTTCCCCATGGTATGGTCTTTTGTTGGAATCTAAATTCTGCCTGCCTTCCTCCACGTTCTCGGCAACTGAGGCTGGCTGCGAACCAGATCCTGCTTTTGCCCAGTCTCTATGCTACATAGCTCCCTGCTCCTTTTCCCATAGAGGTCGCGCATGTGGTATAGTTTGTGAGACTGGACAGGGCGTTCTGCCACCTGATATCAATAACATTCCATCATTTCCACATAGTGTGGCCTCCTTAGAGTTCTAAAGAATCTCATGTTAAAAAGCAAGTGTCTCCAGGAAGAAACACACTCATACCTTCACTGGAAAACATGCATGTTAGAAGGCAGAGGAGGGCACTGGGGAGGACCCATGGAATCACAGCATGGCCTAATCCACCTTCTCATGGTTATCTACTTGTTTCTCCTCTCATCCTCCTCATGCTGAGACCCAACTGATTACTTGGAGTTCCCTTAGATATGAATTGTAATTTCACACCTTCATATTTTTGGCTATGCTTTTTGTCTTTTCTGTAACATTATTTTCTTATTCTGAAATTGGGTAAGTGTTATTTATTCTTCAGGCCTTATTTACATCTCATCTCTGATACATGTTCCAAAAAATGTTTCCTTCAAGAAAAATATTTGCTTTTCATTATATTATTTAAAATATCACTTTATACTTCTCTGTTTATGATTTTTTCTTTCTTGAATGTGAGCCCCTTGAGAAAACAAACTGCTTTATTAATCTGTGGATTTCTGGTTAAGAAATTCTAATTTTGTTTGTTTGATAGCATCACAGAAACTCTTCACTTATCTTAATAAAACATTTAAAAGGATTTTGTGCTGTGAAATTTGCATTTGTAACTTTTTTGAGCTGACATGATACTTATGTTTTGTCCTTATGTAAAGAATATAATATATCCTGAGCCAGATAAAAAATTTTGAGTTAGTAATACAAAAAAACCCTCCAACTTACCCTGCAGGCATCATAAATTCCTTCCATATATCCGGCACAGAACATTCCAGATTTTATATCATTGCCATATACCTGTGGTTGCTTGCAGACATCATCACTTATGATTTTTACTCTGGCTTCTCGAAGTTCATTTTGGGATTCCCCTTAAGAAAAAATAAAGTTATTCTAGTATTTACAATCAGCATCTTTGGCTAGAGTGAAGTGAGCAGACTTTCCTAATATATTTTTCATAGTAAAATTGTCAATACGGAATGAGGTTAATATAAGCAGTGTCTAGCGAAAAGAATTTCTGGTTAAATCTGGCACATCAAATGACAATTATTGTCCAATCACATTTTTATAAAGATTTCTGAAAGCAAGAAAGCCATTTGGATTCTTTTTTCTGGAAAATTTAACCTTAAAAATAATCAGTTTGTATATTTCAGGAAGGCCTTTTATCTTTTTTAAAGCTTTTATTTGTGGGTTTCAGATTGTTCGCAGAAACTTTGCATGCCTAGATAGTTTTCTCCTTTGGCTTGATAAAATGCCTATAACACCCTGTACTTTTATTTTATTATTTAAAGTTTATGATGAGCTTTCATAAATACAAAACATATGTGAAATATATGTCATATATCATACATACATACATATGTAAATGCATTAAATGGCAATGATTTCACTTCTAATGTATTACAAGTTGGTGGCTGCAGACTGTAAGCTAGATTCTGAGTTTTAGAAACCAGTATTTATGGCAGGTTATGTAGAAAACTAAGAATAGCACAAGCATTCACGGATTCTTTATACCAAACCATATATTGATTGGGAGACCATGACCCTGCAGTTGGCAGAATTCTAGGATAGTCCCCAAGATTCCAGTGTGATTCCCCTCCTCCCACATATGGGCAGGATCTGTGAATGTGATGGATGCAATTCTTATGATTAGGTTATGTTATCTGGCAAAGATGAGGGAGTTTTACAGATGCGATTAAGACCTCTAATGAGTTTGACTTTGAATTAACCAAATGGAGATCATCAAAGGTGGGCCTGACCTAATCTGCTGAGCCATTTCAAAAAGGGCGAGCCTTCCTGGAGTTCAGAGCCTCTTTCCTAAAGAGTTAAAGCAGCACCTTCTACAGATGTAAGTCATGGAATTCTGCATTCTACAGATGTGTTCTACAGATGCAAGTCATGGAATTCTGCATTCTACAGATGCAAGTCATGGAATTCTGCGTTCTACAGATGCGTTCTA